AAATATTCTCTGAACTGATCAGAGTTCTGCCAAGAGCAACCCAKCAACCTCCACAGCAGACACATCCCAACATGCCCAATTCCACATCATGAGCCATGCCTCCTCATTAACAGTGATTAATTACAGCAGAGAGGGAAYGAGCAGACACAGCCCCTGGAGAAGGGTCCATGGGCAGGATCTGGAGCTGACATGGCCACTCACCTCCACCCTTGAGGGAAGGGACACTTCCACCTCAGAGTTTCTTTCCCACAGCTCAACCCCACATTTCAGCCAAATCCCRCAGTTATATTCCAGAAGACCCAAGGCAAAGCTAAGGACAGATACCCACTGACAATGCTGATRAACCCATAAATTACCCAGTTTTCTGCAGTGCCTTGAGGTGAAGGGTGAGGAGCAGCATTTGTGCCACTGCCACCAACACAGGGACAGGACAAGGAGTTCAGGAGCCTTTCACCAGAATGGATCCAATTCAGGCTGGAACCCTTCACCAGGTCAGATCAGATGCAGATCAGAGCCCTTCACCAGGTCAGATCAAACCCAGATCAAAGCCCTTCACCAGAATGGATCCAGTTCAGGTTGGAACCCTTCACCAGGTCAGATCTGAGGCAGATCAGAGCCCTTCACCAGGTCAGATCTGATGCACATCAGAGCCCTTCACCAGGTCAGATCTGAGGCAGAGCAGAGCCCTTCACCAGGTCAGATCTGATGCAGATCAGAGCCCTTCACCAGGTCAGATCTGATGCAGATCAGAGCCTTTCATCAGGTCAGATCAAACCCAGATCAAAGCCCTTCACTGGGACAGACCCAGTTCTGCTGGGAACCCTTTCCCAGGATGGATCCCATCCAGGCTGGAGGATCCTTCCCCAGGTCAGATCCCTTCCAGGCACCAGTGGCTCCCTGGCAGTGCCACCTGGCAGGGTGGGCATGGRGCAGGGTCAGTGACACCACACAGGCCCAGCAAAGCTGCACCCCGAGCGAAAGGGACTTCTCCAGAAAACCCACACTCACAAAAGCAAAAATAACCAGAAAAATGGAGACAGGCTGGTGTTTCTAATCCAAAGGTTCTTGTCTTTATTCAAACCAGGGCTCAGCACTGCTCAGTGCCAAACGCACCAAAACCTTTTTTTTTTTTTTGCCTGAGGGAAATCTACATCTCGACAAGGCCTCCGGAGCCCCCCGGCGTTGCGAGGGGAGGGAAGCACGGAGCCCGCAGCCAGCGCTCCCCACGTGCCTCTGTGCGTGCGCAGGGTCCTGCGCCTGCCCTGGCCCAGCTCTGCCCCCCAGAACAAACAGCAAAATACACTCAGTAGGTTTCTGTCAACTCCCAGAGTTTCGGAACCCTCCGCCCCAGCGCTGCCGTGGGGAGGGAGGGAGGGGCTGCAGCTCTTCCCCCACCTCCGACAGCGCTCAAGGAAACCCTGTTTTAAATTAAAAAATAAGCCAGCATACATAGTAGAAAATTTCTCTTAAAAATTTCACAATCTGTAAATGTATATATTTTTTTTTTCTTTTAAACATAAAAGTTTACAATATACGGTAAAACAAAGGCTCAGGAAAAATAATTTCAAAAAAAAGAAACCTGAAGTTTTGAATTAAAGCTGAAGACATTTTTAAAACCCTGTAATTTGAACCAGTGACATTTTCTTTATTTGTGCTGATGGGTTAGAGAAAGGAAAATCTTTAAAAACTGCAGTCCAAACACCCACAGCTCTGCCTTCAGAAGCCATCTGCCCCCACCCCCCCCSAAAAAAAAAAAATTGTTGTTAGGTTTTTCTTCCATCAAGTAATGTGATTGTCACAAGTTCAGAAGTCTGGGATCCCGGGGTTCAGCTGGTCCCAGAGATCCCTGTGGACAGCACTCCCTGATTGCCAGCCCAGGCTAGCGCCGGTAGGGATGGAATCCTTGCACATTGTGGTTCTGTCCCCGGCCGAAGCCGCTGCCTCCGGCTGGGGGGCCGCTGGATGGCTGCACCGAGGGGCCTCCGTAGGGTGGGGGCTGCTGGCTGGGATCAGAGAAACCTTGTCCAAACCCACTCAAGTCTTGTCCATACCCTGGGGAGAAGGGAAAGGCACAGGGTGAGTGTCCAGGAGCAGCCACAGGGGAGAATCCCACACCTGACACCGCTCCCTCCCGTTGTGTTCAGCTCTGGAACACCCCASAACAACAACAGCAGCAGGGGATCCAGCAGGGATTTACCTTCCACACAGAGGGATTTACGTTCTGCACCGAGGGATTTACCTTCCACACCCAGGGAACAGGAAAAGAGCAGAAGGGAACAGGTGTGCAGGAATGGGGGCTGTGTTTTGGGGCAATCCCAGCCAGGCTGGCAGTTCAACCATCTGCTTGCAGGTTTGGACTGCTGCCACTCATTGGGAGGGGTTTCATTTTGGGTTGGGTTTTTTATTGGCTAAAAGAGTTGGAGCCAGGAAGTTTTCCAAGAAATCTCACAGTGCCTCAGTCTGAGGGTGCAGTTACGGGATTTTGGCTTTGCAGGCTGTTTCATCACCTGGATATTCACAAACCTTCCTGCACTGAAACATCTTAAATTCCCTTTCAAAACACACATAAATATTGGGACCTGCACCACTCTGGAGTGAAAATAATTTAAGGGACAGAGAGAAAAACAGGGGTTTTCTTTCCATRAGAAAAGATTGGCTGGAATTCCTGCTACCAACACAAAATTCACACCTAGCTGTGRATTAAGAAGACTGAGAAATTTAGAAATTCAATTCAAATTCCCCTAATTAAATATGACTCTTAATCCTGGCATCAATGCCAGCCCCTGCTCTGAAAGATGCTATTGAGGCTCCTCATTACAAAGTGCATTTCTGCAGTGCTGCCTCTCTCCGTGCAGGCTTAGAGCAGGTTTAACTCTCTTAATCCCAAATAAAGTCTCTTAGCACGTCTTCAGTAGTTCAATTTCAAGCTCTGCCTGTCCCTCAGGACTTGCTGGCTCTAATGAGTACTAAAACACAGCGAGCTCAGGCTCTGGCAGCTCCAAATGCTCCTCCTGGCATTTGTTCAGACACAGATAAGCAGAAGCCCAAAACTACAACGKAATTGTTTGCCAAGGGGTGAGGCTGGGAGTGGAAAAACACAACCCTCGAGTTCCTCTCGCTGCACACAGTGGTGYAAACCACAGCTCATCACAGAGCTCGAGTTGTTTATGACAAAGGAAACCCCAGAGCACACACCTGCACAGCCACTCAGGACTCAYTGCAYTCCCTGTTTGCCATCCCTGGGCTCRCTCCAGCCCCTCTGCTGCCCCTGGGGTTGTGCCAATTTTAGATTTGAGTGTTTGGCTCTAAAATCTGAGCCCAGATCGATCACCAGGATAAAGCCTGTGAACAGTGGCAGTCAGGCCTCAGCTGTGGGGTTTCACCCAGCCAGCTGGCACAGCTCAAGAGCTGCACTGCCCTGGCACAAAACCCCAATGTCTGAGCCCCATTCCTGCCTCTCACCCTCTCCAACAACCCCKGCAAGGAACCCCAGGGAATTTTCCCAGGATCTGCCTGAGGCTCCTCCTCCCTGCTCAGCCTGATCTTGGGAATGGAGACAAAGCTTTGGGGTGTGGCTTGAAGGGTCTGGAGGATGGAAACCCACCCCAATGAGAGCTGAGGGGACTGCAAGGACAAAGCCCCAAGAGCGCCCTGCATGGAGATAATAAATTTTTAATTATTTTTAATTATGTAATTAAATAATTAAATTTTTTCAGGATGAGTGTTAGTGCTGACACTCATCCCAGCTGCAAACACAGYAGCATTTAAGACACTGCCCAGCCTGGATAAACCTTACAGTGTTTTACACTGATTAGGGAACTCTGTGGCTCTTCAAAGCCCACAAGCTTAACACATTTATGCAAATATATGCAAATCAAGGACACTTCCAGGGATGGCACAACCACAGTTCCTCCGAAAAACCTGTGCCAGGGCCTCACCACCCTCACAGGGAAGAATTTCTCTCTCATATCCAATCTAACCCTATTCTTTTTCAGTTTGAAGCCATTCCCTTCATACAGGTCTGGATGAAGAGTCCTTCTCCATCAAATTCTCCATCAGATCTTTCCTAAACTTCCAACACATCACAAACATTGGCTCCCCACTGACTGTAGCTGGCTGAGCAGGGATTTCTACTTTATTTAGTAGGATCCAACCCCCTCCAAAAAGAGTCTTCAAAAAGCCAAGTTCTGGCAGAACAAGAAAAACTTCCTCGAGTCACAATGGCAAAATTATCCATGAATTCGACTGTGTTTGTAAGAAACAGACAAAAAAATATTTCAAACTCATTAACACCAGAACCTGCTGCTTTAAAACACATCCCAAAGGCTCATCTTCCTTCAGAGTCTGCTTTACGTTGCTGGAACTTTGAATATTATCTATTTAAATAAATTTTGTGCTCATCTCACAGCAGTTTCTGCAGGAACTTGAGGCAGCATTACCACAGAGAACACGTTTCAGCAGGGAACAGTCTGAATCCATGAGGCTGCTGAATGAAAAATTCCCTTCAAAAGTAAAAACTGACCAATTACAATCCCTTAAAGAAACTGTGCTCTTTGGAGAGAAATCTAAAGAGATCTTTGGAGAGCACTGCTGGAAAACAGGGCTGAGAAGAGCAAGATGAGAATGAGAATTCCCTCTGAGCTCCCACAGGGAGCAGCAGCAGAAATTTTACTCTGGAGCACAGGCACCTGTCTAGCAATTTTTAAAAAGAAATTTTTTTTTGTCTGCCTGGTTCAAAACTTGTTACCTAGGTGTCTTCTACCTCAACATTACCTACAGAACACAACAAAGCTCTGCATAGAAAATCCCTCGAGATGGGGAGGAATGGGAAAAAGGAGGAAAAGGCACTGGTTTGGATCCTTACATGTGCACTGCCTGTCTCTCCATGCTGATCTCATTCTTTAAGTCTGTTACACAAAAAAAAAAGTTCACTACAAGCTCTGTGAAGCTCTTGGAGTGGAAMGTTTTAGCTCCAAATTCAGGGAAAYGGGAAAGCAGGAATTCATCCTGGCAGCACACAARCCCCCGAAGGTTATTTTACAGCACAAAAGCAACACTTTAGAGCTAAGGAAATTCCCTCTGGCTAGAATATTGCATGATTTAAGGATGGCTTGAGCTGGTGGGAGCATTCCCATGCTGGAGAAGTGCCTGCAGCAAACTGTGTCCAACACTCTGTACCCAAGACTAAAAGGAAAGGGGTAAAGTTGCAGCAGTTACTCACCAAACTGACTATAAGGGAATTCTGGCTGAGCAGTCGGGGGTTTGCTCATGTCCTGAGTTGCCTGAGATGGTGGTGGTGGTGGAGGAAAAGCGAGTGGTGCTGCCCCTGGAGTGGCAGGTGGAGGGGGGACTCCAGGRGGGGCAAACTGGTCAGGTGGAGGAGGTGGAGCACCATAACCAAAACCTGAAAGTACAAAACAGGTGAACACCGTTGTCCTGCTTGGCTTTAGACACAACACAATTGAAAAATTCTATTAAACATTTTCTATTATCAACATTTCTATTAAACCCCAGGTGTTTGTGAGCAGTGGCTGTACTGAGATCCACCCCACACACTGATCACCCCCACAGCTCCAAGATCTCAGCACTTACCTTGCACAGGTTAGAGAAATGTCCCCCAAAAGCAGAGGCTGCAGCAACCAGCACAGAAAGGGATAAAGAAAAACTAGGGACCAAATTCTGTGCTCACACACATGAGAGAAATAAAGAGGAAGCCATATTATCCAAGATTTTAGGAGGAAAAAGTATCTCTTTTCCACCTTCTTTTTTAAACCAGGTRTGTGGCTGAATTTTGAAAATATGTAGGTGCTAAAATCCTATTTGTACTTCCAGTGCCAGTTGTGACCTTAATTCCTTAAGCTCCTCCAAAAAACCCTGTCTGTGTTCAGCCCAGGTCAAAGTTTTTTGCAGATGCCCTAACAACAGTGCCCTAACAATGTATCTGAATTCATTTAGCAACATAGTTTTAAACTAGAGAATAGAAATGATTACTGCATCCAAGAATAAAATAATCCAAGAAAAAAAAATGGTATAGTTAATTATAGATCAGAATATATAATCTAGAAAAAAAATAATTAAGGAGAGGTGAAACAGGGAAAACCCAAGTCCAGAAAAGGATGAGCAAAAGCTGAATTTGGAGCTGGGGGTCACTTACTAAATGGTGGAGGGGTGCCATAGCCCTGTGGAAATCCTTGTGGAGGAGGAAATCCCCCGGGAGGTGTGGAGACGATGTATGAGGTAAATGGTGGTGGTGGGGGAGGAGCTCCTCTGCCCGGAGGAGGGGGTCCATATCCACCTGCAAAAGGAAGAGAAAGCCAAAAACTGAAGCAGATGGATACCAAGGAGCTGCTGCTGGAGTCAGCTTCCTCTAGATGGGGTAAGGCTGTTGAGTGGATTTCAAACGCAGGCTCAGCTTTCTATGAATCCTCACTTTGGGAAATATTTGTCCTCCAAGTATCCCCACTGTAAATAATTGCAGTTTAGCATGTAATCCCTTGATAACAAATCAATGTGGCTGGAACAGCAGGATRTGTGTCAGCTCCCATTACTGAGCTGCTAAGAATCCACTGTCTTCCCCTTCGTTCTTGCAGGACAAATTCAATCAAGCTTTTAAATGTAGGTTAAATCCTACAAAAATCCACAAATCACTTTGAATGCTTAAAGGAGCTGTGCTCGTGCTYGGGAGGATTTTTTCCTTTCAGAATTGGTCCCATATAATGTACTTACCAATTGCCTGTCCAGCTGGCACCCACATCCCTACAACAGAACAAAAAAAGAGCCTTAGACATCACTGAAACTGCGCACTCCGGAGCAGGGATGATGCAAGAGGAAGGATTTGGCTCTGGGATAGACTGGGTATCCTCCCCGTGTCCCTTACAGAGCTATTTTTATGGCCCAAGCAACATTGTGGGACTATTTCTGAATGTGCAATTCTGGAAAGACTCTGAATCATTCAGCAAATGACACTCAGAAGAGACAGCAGCTCCCAAACCCAAATCAGATGGAGCATTCGAGAGCTGCCACATACCGAGCGCAAGAAACTATAGTACTACAGAGAACAAAACCCCAGAGACTCCCAGCACACTACACAACCAAGGGATTCTTAATTTACTCCCAGGTTTATCTGAGTTATTTTTGCAGTTTTTGAAGCATAAAAAAAAATTTTTTCCATCCGTTGTGCAGTGCTGAGATTGAAGGATAAATGYGCTCGTGTCTGACATTAATCTTTCCAGGAGATCAGATATCATTYTCCCTACTAATCACTGCATGAAAAATAATGGGAGTTTCTCCGTTKGCAGATTAGCACATCTGTGCACAATGTCAACCCTCAGCTGCAGCTTTCAAGTTAATCAGCACCGTGGGGAAATGAGCAATCCCTGTGCTGCAGTTCCATCCATCGGAGCKGGGATGGAGCAGCCACACTCCCTCCAGCCTCCCCAGGTGAACATTTCTCATCTCTCGGAGCAAGCAAGTCACAGCAACTCAATTATCCCGCTGTATTTCTCCAGAAAGTTATCAAAATTGTCTTTGGATGAACTCAGCATATTTATCCTGCCTTTGGAATCTCTTTGGAATCAAACCCAGGCACGTGGCTGCTCCTGAGCCCTGCAGGGCTCCTGGTGTGCACTAATGCTCCCTGCACCAGAGCYGCCTGCTTCTTTCCCAGGCTACACTGAGCAATAAAATCCAAAAGCAAGGCCATCCATTTTCCCCTCATGCCTTTCAGATTTTCCTGATAACTTCCTTTGYAAGTGCCTYATCCTTGAAAAGACATATTTCAACYAAATTTGTCACTGGGGTGYTGTGCAGGCCTTGCTCCACAGCTGGAGTCACATCTGGAGCCTTTTTAACACCTTCCCTGAGTTTCTCCAAACCATGGGGATTTCACGTGGGAAGAGGCAGATCCAAAGGGAACAGGAGAAACACACCTGGGACACGTGCCAGAGCTGGCACTGCCTTCTGCCCAGTCAAACAGATACTTGGGAAAGAACCTCAGGAAGGACTTGGGGGGTGGAAATTTAGTCCTGTGGGGAAATAAACCTGGGAATATCATCTAGAGCAGAAAATCACGAAGTGCAGCGAGTTGTAAAGGTTGGACAGGTGACAGTAAAGGCCAGACAGGTGACAGYARAGGCCRGACAGGTGACAGYARAGGCTGGACAGGTGACAGCACCCCGGGCAGGGTGGGCAGTACCTTGGGGGCCGTATCCCTGCTGCCAGGTCGGAGGGGGCTGCCCTGCCCAGCCGTTGGCAGCRCTTGGCATGATCCTGCTTCCCCACTGGCTGGCCCCCGGTGGCCCCGGAGTTTGGCTCTTGCTATCCCGAGGCTCGGCGCGTTTCACCTCCACCTAAACAAACAGAGGCAGCGTTCAGGAGGGCTGGGGGGGGCCCTGCACCCCCCGACCCCTCACACACACCCGCAGGTACACTTAAGACTACACTTAGCATCTTATGACTTATGTCTAAGTACTTAATTATTAAAACTTAAGGCCAGTAATTTACAATGTTTCTCAGGTACAGTGTAGGTGATGGTAAGACATTACAAGTCCTACTGTCGAGGGATTCCGAGAAAAGCATCCTACAAATAAATCACTTCGGTATGGTTGGCTTTAATCTTAAAACAGCAGTACCCTCTTACAGCAGCTCTGCACTTAAAACAGCRGAATCTTGGACATTAATGACAGACTGAATTCATGTTCAAGGCAGGAGTTACAAAGACGACGTTTTCAGTTAAAAAAACAGAATTTTGAGTGAAGAGGCTGCTCTGAAAAAGGGTACTAATGCTTTAACCAAACATGTTTGGGGTCCATTTGGAAGTGACAGTTTAACCCACCCCAACTAACTGCAATTTCAGCTCTGCTCATACCTGAGAAACACACATTTTTTTTTATATTTTTTTGTATTGATTTCTTTTTTTCTTTTTTTTTTAAACTTAAGATTTTATTTAAATGTCTAATGGAAGATAAAGACTTACCTTCCCCAGGCTAACGCTTAAAGAATCTCAATTAACTCAAACAATGTCAGAGGGAATGGATGTGATAAGAGAATCTTACATTACATCTAACAAAAAAGTAAACAAACATGCAAGTAATAAAAATGGACAGTTGAGTCAATAAGAAGCAAATCTTCATACTGTGTTAAGTCAGTGACAAAACCCCTCCTGTTTTATAAATTAGTAAGCCACAGTGCTTAACTTATTTTATTCCAAGATAAAATGTCCTAGTGTTCCCAGCCATGGAATAAGTGCGATTGACCTACTTAAAATAAGCTGCACATTCAACATAAACCTCTCAAAAAAAAAAAATCCAGTTCTGATTTAATGAAACCCTCTCAGCACTCGCTGAATTCGAGGCTTTTTTTTTTTCATTTCATGATTAATTTTAATGGGTGCCAGAGTACAAAGAAAATAAATCTCAATCATCAATGGGCCTGAGTAGTATGGAAAATAAAGTATTCAGAATTCTTCCTGCCATGTCTTAAAAGCCATTCATGTCGGAGAACAAACAGGAAACAGGCACAAGGCAAGGACAAAGCCCCCCACACCCCCCCTGCCAATGCCCCAAGGACATGAGACATGACAGTAACCAAATCTCTGTCAGCTCAAGGCCCTTCCAGAAAGGAACCAAGGGAATTTTTCAAAGGACTCAAATTAATGAGTCTTAACACATTTGCCTCGAGGGAATTYGGTTATTGCTTACAAAAGCAGAGGCCTTCTTGCAATTTTAATTTCCACCCCTCCCGCTTTCAACAACATATGGATTCATTTCAGCAATACCTTTTTAATTACCAAAAAGACACAGATACCATTTTTAAAGCAGGAGTGATTAGGCAGTGAAGGAGAGAGCAGGGGATCTGGAGCTCATTAATCCTTGTGGAAGAATCCCATTAATTTTTCAGTGCACACTTGGAAGTGGGGAACTGCCAAATTGAAGACTGAAAAATTCAGTGTGCAGTAGGGAGGTTCAAATTCCACACCTGCCTAAAAGCCCAGGTTACCCCAAGAACTGAGGCAGCTCTATCATTCTGAGCTAAAAATCCCTGAATTCTGCTGGGTTTTGTCACTGAAAGTGGGGATAAAAAAGGGCAAATTTAAGACTRTTTCAGTCTGGAACTGGGTTTGTTYRGGGAACACTGAGAACTCTGAGTCTCAGTGTTATGTTCCAAACCCAGCAGCACCGAGGTGACATCTGGAGGCTCTCACTGGGCTCTCCACCCTCTCCCAGCACCTCGTGGATGTTTATCCTTTGTTCCCATTTAGATCTGCTGATTGTGGGATCAGCTCCCACTTCAGTGGCTCTCTGAAGGCAATTCCAAGGGCAGGGAATGCTGCTGGGATACTGGTGATCCATACACATCCCCATGTGATTTACTGCACCTGCTCATGGCAGGGAAACATCAGAACTGATGTCCTGGATCCCACAAGCACATTTCCATTATSAGATCACCCACCCCTCTACCCCCCAAAAAATTCACAGGAATTAAAGACATTATATAGTGCAAAATGAACCAAAACTCCTCTGATATCCAGAATCTATCCCCTGCTAGCTAAGGAAAGGCTTATGAAATATCAGCACATAAAATACTTTAAAAACAATAAAAAACTCACACAATGCAATAATTAAAGGGATGTGAGAATCTTCTGTCTCCCTGAACCCCCTCATTCCAAGTTAAGCAGTTTTAACATTTATTTAAAAAACTGGATATACCTTAAAGCTGCAAGGACTTAAATTTACCAGAAATTTCCTGTGGTTTGTTTTTCTTGATATTCTTTTCTCTCTATATAAAACTTAGATGTCCTGCAACAATTTATTTTGCTTCTAGGGTTTTGGTTTTTTCCACAGGTAGAAGCAAGATCCTTGCTGAGTAACATCAAAGGAGCCTAAAAGATTTCTCCCTATCCAAAACCCATTTGCTGACAACACAGTATGAAGATGAAACAACCAGAGGTCACTTAACTGCATTGTGGTTAAATACTATATAGAGTACGTGGGTTGGTATCAAAGTTTCACAGTAAGTGACCCAATTTTTTAAAAAACCAATCCTTCAGGATGTTTTTTTTTTGTTCCCTTTTTCTCCTTAAGTTTAAGATTATATAAAGCAGATTGTCTCACACCACCTCGAGATTTGAGTATCGAGTACACATCTGAAGGAGTGGTATCTTAAACCAAACCTTGAACAACTCGGATTTCACTGGGATTCTGCTTTTCCAACAGCTGGAAATCACTGAWTTCTCTCTTTGCACCACGGCAGTGCTCAAAGCAGAGGCAGTGAGCACCAGTTCATCCCAGTGCGAGCTCTGCTCAGCCAGAGCAGCCCCCAGGTCTGTACACACAAGGCCTCACCCCAAGCAGWGCCCACAGCCTGAATCCTCAGGCTTTCCAAGCCCTCCCTTCCTCAGACTGACCCCATCCTAACTGCCCTTCTCCAGCAAACTCAGACTTTCCCCACCTTCATGGATAAAGCCTTGAATTTGGACTGCTGTGCCCTCCCATCACCAATTCAGCTGGATTCCCCAGTGAAATCGCTCGTTGCCCAAGACTTGGTTCTTTCTTAAGGTAAAATAAAACTACAACTACACACTTTTTTGCCCATGATGTCGTGAAAATGCATGTTGACAGCCTGGTCCACTGATTGTTCGTCCTCGAAAGTAATAAATCCAAAACCTAGCCAACGACGAAGAGTGAATCAAGGTAGCAGGGTGTTGTGACACAAAACAGGATGATGAACAGTATTAGGGGCAGACCAAGGGTTCAAGCAGGGGTTTCAGATAACGACACTTGTGTTCAATTGGCAAAAACTCTCAGGAAATTGCAATGGATACTTCCTGTGATGAGGCTTTAGTGCCTCGTCTCGATTGCGCGCATGCAGCTTCGAACTGAGCTCGTTAACCGGCTTTTAATTTGATTTTATTCCTCATCCACCTACCAGGAAATGGAAAAAAACTGCTAAAATCAAAATACTTGTGGGACAGCAGATTAAAGTCAAGCAACTTTTGCTGCTCCTCCCTTTGATTCAGCCTAGTTTCCCAAGGAAAAMCTATCATATATCCCTGCTCCCCAAAAGCTGCAAAGCAACTTCCTCCCATCCCTTAGCCCAGCTTCCAGTTAGGGAATATTTTCCGTGGAAAATAAGAAAGTTGGTTTTGAAATGTAGCTGTTAAAGCATGAGAAATTTTACCACTCCATGGATGAATGAGAAGCTTCAGAAACTAACAACCTACATCAGAGGTTCTCAAGTTTCCCACACCTTGGAGAAAAAGAACAGAACAGGTGTTACTCCTTCCCAACACAGCAACCCCTGTGAGGTGTTGCTTACACAGAACATGGTGTTGCTGCCACGTTCTGAATTTGTTTTTATTTCTCGTATTTCCTGCTGGTTTTCTTTTAAAAATCAACACAACTCCCCAGTCGGGTGGCTCGTTCCCAGTTCCACCTGCCCACAGCCCTGGCTGGTGGCAGTTCAGCCAGATCCAGCAACTTTTGATGTGTGGAGAAAACTCTGCAGAAAACTCTGCAAAAGGAGGCAAAAGTCCCTTTTTTGAGATTACTCTGAGAACCACTGCACGTAGGTTGTAGCTGCTGATACAGCCGAGAGAGTGGCAAAATAGTGGTTAATCCCCCAGGACACGGCGGCAGCTTCATGCCATCACCCACTGGCTGCTGGTGGGGACAACCCAGGGCAGGGAGGGACACATGCAGTACAGGAATTGTGCCATTCTTTGGATTAGCTACGGGGGGGAAGGGGGGAGAGCAATAAAAATTAGAAAAGAAACCCGAAGTGCGGCGTGGGAAGCGTTTATGGAACATGGATGCGGTTCTGCTTTTCTGAAACCCAAGATTTCCCCCTTGGTTTGCGTTTTGCTTTGCAGCTAGTGCTGACAGCAGCCAAATCTTGCTCTAAAGCGTTACAGAATACAGGATCTAGCACAGGAATGTCTCTCCACGCTTATCCAACTGCGTTGGGTAAGCCCAAAGAGGCCTAGTGTAGAGAAAGTTTATATATATATATATAAAAATACACAAAGATACAGGCCAAAATAGATTCCAGCAGGTCAAATTCTGCTGTCAGCAACAAGAGCAAAAGACATCACTAAAATAAACTGAAAATAAAAAGGAAAAAACTTGGCATTTCCCACACACAAGAGACTGGCAGTATAAACGAAGTTTTGTGAAGCTGTGATGAAAGCAGCCTCGAAGCAGAGAGCAGCATTTCATCACAATATATTTGTCTGAGTTAACCAGAAATCCGAGTGTTGGAGCCAAAGGAAAAAGTGTTTGTATTTAAATCACGTTTAGTATTCCAGCCTTTGTCTAAAAAGARATGGGGAAGAAAAACAATGGATTCCATCTGTATGTGAAGGTTGTTGTTCAATTTGATTGCAAAGCCAAAGGAGGGGAATAGATTGTGGGATGGGGTTGGAGGGTGGGAGAGGGAGGGCAAGAGGTCATTGAGGAAACAAATAAATAAATTGAAAAGGGGGATTTAAAAGGGTCAGACAGCTCAAGATAAAGAGCAGTGAAGAAATCAGAGTAGCACAACAGAACTTCAAAGGCGAAATTCTGAGCAGAAGTGATGAAACCCACCACCCACAGCTTTAGTTTTTGAAGGGCAAGACTCTGTTACAGACTGGAGAAATGAAACGCATTCAGCAGGAATCCAAGAGGACCAGAGCAGAGTGATGGGGCTCATCTGCAGCCAAGGGGGGAGGAGAACAGACACAGCCAGAACCTGGAAATCCCTTCCCAGCTGTTGGTTTGGCCCAGAACAGGAATCAGGAGAAGCTGAGGCTGCAGCTTATTCTTATTCCCTCAGAGATGCACACAGCTTGGGGCTCTGGGAAGAGTTTGGATGAGGCAGAGCTGGCAAGAGCAGGCAGGACTGGGAGGAAGCAAAGATCACATGGATACCTGATACCAGTCAGCTCCTCAAGGACATCACCTGAGAATCTGGTGCCCAGGGCTCTCCTGAGGAGCTGGAGGTAAATGGATGCTACAGGGATTGGGAACAGGGATTATTTTCCCTCCTACAGGCAAACTGATGTGCACTTCCAAGGGAAGGGTGGTAAAGKGAATGGGAGAAGGCAAAATTCAGAAGGGTCCAAGGAGAGATGGCACTGAAGTGGCCTCTGGAATTGTATCAACAGTCATTAAAAGGATAAGGAGGCAGAGGAGCAAGAGAACACAGAGCAGAGAGAGAAGGCAAGAGAGAACGTGTTCTGGGATGTGCCCCACACAAACTGAAGGAATTTTTCCTAGCACCCCCCAGGGACTGCCAAGGCCATTCTGGGAGATGACTGTTAGTCACACACTAAAAAAAGACTGGAACAGCACAGAAACGAGAGGCAGAGAGAGAGGATTCAAGAAGTGCTTAAGAAGYGTGAGGAATTAGGGGAGGAAGTTTTTTGTGGATGGAGACAAGACCTTTCCTGCACCTGGCAATTGTGCTTTGCACCCCAAGCCCTCCTTTCCCTGTTTTTTTATTTTTTTAGTAGAGCTTGAAGCAGAGAAGCCATTAATTCAGACAGGATTAATCCAGACCAGGCCTGATGTTTTAGTACTTTTTGCTCAGAGGCTGCAAGGCTGGGATTAAATATTGCAAAGATAGAGATGATACAATAATTACTGAAATGTTTCAGAACTTCAGCCCCAAATCACATTCGGATGCCAGTGCCTTTTGTCTCCTCTATCCAAAACCAGCTGCTCTAGAGCATTGAAACAGATGAATTTATGTGCTGCTTAAATCAAAGGTATCTGTTGGAAGAAGATTAGGATAGCTAAAGCAAGAAAACAAAAAAACAAATATATTGAAACTTCGTTTACACTCCAATAAAAGACAAAGCCCGTCCCTCCTCTGACTGCGGAACTGGCCTGTACCTCTGTGATAAATTATCACCTAGAGAGAAGAAATCTAAAGAGATATCGTTAATCACAGTCAAACAATTCACAGAGAGAAAAGAAACAAAAAAAGAACTTACTTAACATTACCATACTTTACTATGAAACACTTAAATATGTCACTAAGGATGTATGTCTAAATTAAAAATAAAACTAAGACTTAACAGCTTAATAAATATGAAGTGAAGGATATATTTCTTAATAATGAGGCAGAAGAGAAATGCAAAGTTCAGATGGCAAACTATTCTCTAGCATGTCCAACATGCTACAGGGTGGGAGCACAGCTAAGCTTCACATGCTAAAATATTGCCTCTTCCTTGGCAAACAGATGGTGGATGCAAAGGGACATGGGTGACATGGAAYTTGCTTCGTATTTTGACCAAAGGTTCCCAGCTTGATTCATTATCTACTGAATCTTCCAGGTTTTTGGGGTTTTTTTCCCCCTCCTAAAAAGCAGTCTGGCATACAGGGATTGTATACCCCAATTAAAAATGAATATATAAATATTTCAAAATTATTTTGTGTTGTTTAAGAGGCGTTTTTTCTTTAATTTGAGGTGAAGCCATTTAACCAAAACAAAAAGCAGGTGATGGATGGATTCTGTCCTGTCTTGTGCTCTGGCTGGAGCACCCCCCATGCATTTACAGACCCAACATACCTTTCATGTGGAACAGGAGGAAAATCTACTTTTTTTTTCCCCCCTGAAAAGTACCTTAAGCCACAGGAGTGGCAAGATAATCAAATTTTATTTATCTAAAAAAATCCCCAACCCAYAAATGAGCATGAAACATCTGAGTTGAAATGCACAGACCCAAGTGAAGCYGGAGATGAAGAGTCTAGACTTGAGGTGATGTTTGCCCAGTGAATTATTCTTTTTCCTGAGGCAACATAAGGAGAAAAAAAAAAAATCTACCTTTTCTGATGGTGTGAAATAGTTTGCCATCTGACTATAGGAGAGTATGAAGAAATTTCAAGGACAAACTAGATCAGCCTTTACCTCGGGGCCTCTGTTTCTCTGCGTCATAGATCATTACAACTTCAGTGACCTGGAAGAGAGAAGGGAAATTCTACTCACTGTGCTACCAGGGGAGGGCTGGAACAGTCACCACCGGCTGGTTCCTGCTCTCTACCCACAAAGCACAATTCAACTGCAGCCATCACCCCAGACACAGCATAAAAACAGGGAATATTGCTCTTCCTGGGAGTTTAGAAAGCCTGAGTTCATCTGTATTGCCTCATCACATTTAACATTTTCATTTAACACTGAGGTTGTTGCACTGTCTGCACCCACTCTGTGGCCCATTGCACACCCCAAAGGTTTGTTTTGCAATAACTCATCAGTGTGGCTTTTTAAAAGATGATTTTTTTYCCCATTTTTAACCATTTTCTATTTCACCATGAAAAGCAGTTTGAGCTGCAGGCACCTTTAGGAAAGTGCAGTGCTCCTCTGATTGAATTACTGGAGCACCAGTGYGGCCCAGAGCACCAGTTAAGCAATGCTTCAAACAGCTTTACAAAAACCCTCTAAGTTCTGGATGAGCAGTATCAGTGTGATTTTAACTTAAAAAAAAAAAAGAAAATGGAAATTGCAAGCTGTTCAAGAAYTTCAAGATTATTCTTCTCAGAATAAGCACCACTGTGAGCTACAATTGAAACAAAACCTGAGGTGAAATGTTTATGTCAACATTAAAACAGATGAAAGGAACTGCTGTGAAATCTCTCAGATGCAGAAAAGTGGTCACAAAATGGGAGTGATTTTGTGGAATCACATCTTCAAGACAATCTTAGAATATTTTTACTCCAATGCCCTGAACGAGTTTAAAATCTGWCAGAATTTTATCTTTACTTACAGCTAGAAAACATTTGGGTTTGCTACCAGCTGGGGYTTGGGGATCCATGTGGGGATTATGCCATGGGACAGTGGCAGATCTGTCCCTCCACTGGTCCATTTGGATCCTCTTCTTCACCCTGGCTTTAACGACCCAGCAATTTCCAGGGCTAAAAACCACTGCCTGCCTTGGTTTCTTCATTCTCGTGGCCACAAAACATTTGTGAGACTCCACTGCTCCAACAGGACTCATTACAACTCCAGGAAGACTTTCTGATTTCTATACTATGAGTAAAGTGCTACTACTTACTTTTAAAGGGAACTTACAGTTGTGGCTGTTGCCTTCTACACTTGCAGGACATACCCTGTATCTCCCCAGCATCCAGGACACAGCTGGAAAGCCAAGTCTGTGAGGAAGAGCCTTTAGAAACTACATTCCACAGCTGTGGAACGTGCTCCCTGTTTTTATTATTAGTCTACTGCAGCCTTTCAAGCTAAAGAAATAGTTGTTAGCTGTTGCTTTTTATGCTTTAAATAAGTTATCTTAGTGGAATTTTAAACTGTTGATAAACTTAGGAACTTGTTTCTCAATAAATCCTTTGCTGCCACTAAGAAATCTTAGAGAAAGGTTACTGAAAAAAGTAGCAAAAACCACACTAAATGCCAATCAAGTTCAGTTTTACCAGCACAGTCCTGAATTTAACTCAGGCAATCTTTAACTTCCTCAAACTTAYTCACAGCTGAATTATTTAATTGAGTGGTTTACCACTTTAAAGGGGCAGTGAGAGCTGGGATAAAKGGGAATTAAAACTGAACAAAAAAAWAATAATCAGAAGATACAGTCAYTTCAGTCCAAGGTTACAAACKGAATTACAAAAAGCAGTCTGTCTCAGAATGGAGGTTCTAGGGATACCAGAACTCAGATGATTCCAGATGATGACTTAAAAGCAGCTATTGCTCCCAAAATGATGGCAAGAGTCCCAAATTTAACYTATCTGTGCACACAGTCAAAGACCAGGATCTTAAAATTAAACCCACTGAGGGACTCGCTGCTCCAAAAAAACAATCAGACATTTTTAATTGCCCAGCTGTAAGGTATCAGTAGAAAGAAGAAAAAAAAATAAAAATAAATAATAATTTAAACAAATCCTTCCTAAGCCACCTCAATTCAGGAGTTTTTGGAAGAAGGGACAGAGTAATGTATCAGGTAGGCTTAAACATGAGGAGACAGAAACAGCAAAGTTCCACACAAGCAGTAGGCTCTGCCAAGAGACRTTTCCAGATGATCAACAGTTTATCACAAAATGCTTCATGTACCCCTACAGCAGTTTGTCCAAATTASCCCCAAATTTGAGAGCTTGAGGAAATGTGAGAGGAGGCAGCAGGGAGGGGAGGCACCATCCCCCCCAGGACTCACCACTCCGAACTTCTTGAAGTATTCCCTGAGCTCTGTCTCGCCACAGTTATGAGGAATCCCACCAACAAAAATTTTATTGGATTTATTGTTATCGCTCCTGGATCCTTTCTGCTAAATCAAGGAGGAGAAAATTCAATCAGAAGGACAATCAGGTTGGCTGCTTCTATCATTTAACAGTGAACCATGAACAATGRGCTCTGGCAGGCTGAGGGGGAGAGCTCCAGCCTTGAAGTCTCCCAGTTGTGAAAGAGAAGCACGTTCTGAGCTGAGAGGTTCAGTGTTCCCTGTTCTTCAGGGCCTATATTGTGAGGCCATTGACTAATTTTACACTGAAATATGATACAGCTGCAGGGTGTGGAGTGGGCTGGAACAGCATCAGCCCTGCCAGTGCTCTTCCARACACTGCTCTCAAATCTGAAGAACTTCACTAAAAGCATCCCTAAGAGCTTAAGAAACACCACACCCAAACTGACACTGCTCTGCACAGAGCCTGCCCATGGAAATCTAAGTTAAAGACAATTTTTAGAAATATAATTTACACTCCAGGCCTGTATATTGATTTCTGCCCTTAAAACACAGATGTAATCCAAGCAAATACAAGAGAACTCAAACAACAGGCAGTAGACACAGGGATCTTTCCTTACCCATCCTTCCTTCGGTCGTGTCCGCTCTGGCTGCATCCCCCGAGGTGTACATGGCTTTGGATCAATCTGGAAGAAGTTCCAGTTTGGTCAGATCTCAGCATGCAGAATTTTGCTTTTAAAGTTACATCTGTGGCCACTGAAGCCAGCAGTGCTGACATGCAGYTCCTCAGAGCAAAGCAACATAAGCCATGGAGTTAGAGCTGCCTTACAATAAATCATTTAAACCAACAACCAGGTCAACTTTGACACTCTGCAAATAAGGAGCTAGAATTTACAGCAAATCTTTGAATCTAGTGCAGGGRARAAAAAAAAAGACAACACAAAAGCAACTTACATTTCGGCCATCTAACGTATGAGGTCTGCTGGCCAGCACTGTTCCCACACAGTTGGGATCTTTAAATTTGACAAATCCAAATCCTCGAGATTGATTTGTTGTTTTGTCTTTCATTATTACACAGTCTACAACTTCTCCATACTGGGAGAAGTAACTACGAAGAGTTTCTGTTAAAGGAAAAAAAAAAARCAAGTATTAAACAGAACCAGATATTAACAACAGACTGTGTTTGCAATTATGAGACAACAGATCAGCAAACATGGAAAACAACTTCAAACTCTTTTGAAAATGATCACATTTTACTTCCTGTAAACAAATGGTACACAACAGTTTATTTCCACTCACAAAAAATGGAAAATAGTAAGAAAGTGATTATAAAAAGGATTGTCTGTTGAGCTGACAAAAAYTTCAGCACCAAACAATATAAACCTGAAAGTATTAACATATATCTGAGCTGTCTCTGCAGAAAGTTTTATTAATTAGCAGAGGAGATGRAGACTCCCAGCCCAATCCTCCCACCACAGCAGTGCCTGTTAAGAGCTCATGATTGGGTTTTCACAACAGCAGCACACGTTGCTCACCTTGTGTCGTGCTCCAGTCCAGGCCACCCACGAACAGCTTTCTGCAAACGAAGCACAGGCAAGTTTAGAGGCTACAGCAGATGCTCAATCTTATTTAAGGCATAACTCAGCTCTTCTGGACAGCTTTGGGGGTACCAAGGCCTCCAACACACCCGACAAAGCTGGCGAAGCTGCTGATTAAACCAAACCCTTCCTCCATCCCTGCTCTGCGCTGCTCCTCACTCACCACAAAACACTCACTTGGCYGCCAGCACCTTCTCGTGGGGTGAAAGCAAAAGTAGAACTGCCAAGCTCAGGCCAGAGACAGAAGTCAAACCTGTACAGCAGGTACTAAATAACAGAGCAGCACTAATCCAGCACCAGTTGTGAAACCACTGTACAGCCCAGTTTCGAGATAGYGCCGAGCAGATGAGAAAGTCATGGCTAAACCCCAAACCAAACTGCTTAAAACTGATTCAACTCTTCTTCTGCAAAGAGCACCCAAATCTGCAGGGTTTCATGTCACAGCACGCCCAAGTACCTGGGGAAGTGCTACAGGAGCTCCATGCCAGGCTGCCGGCTCTGCAGCTCTTTATCAACTCCTGGGTGTGACAAAACTTCCAGCAGTCATTTACTCAGTAATTAAWGGTTGGTTATAACCACCTCAACACTGGGCCCTGGTCAGTACCATGAACCAACTCAAAAAAACCCTCATAGCTGTCTTCAGCTTTCTCCCAAGAGGCAGCACCTCCCTCTGCTCTCTGGGACCAGGGGCCAAACCCAAGGGAATGGCTGGGGCTGTGTCAGGGGGCTGGGATGGATACCAGGAAAAGGTTCCCCCAGGGGGTGGTGGGGCACTGAACAGGTTCCCCAAGGAATGGTCCCAGCCCCAAGGCTGCCAGAGCTCCAGGAGAATTTGAACAATGCACTGGGACAAGGTGGGATTGTCGGGGTGTCTGTGCAGGGCTTTGATGATCCTTGGGGATCTCTTCCAGCTCATCAGATCATGTGATTCTGTGAAAAACAGTGCTGTTGATGGTTCCATGGCTCTGCACAGACAAGTGTGGGATAGTTTATTTTTGGAGGGTGCCCTCTAGTTCTCTGTCAGACCTCAAAGAGAGGAACCACMTTCTACTGTTTTCTACTCACCCTCACCTATACCTGGGTACAGCTGAGGGCAGTGGGAATTCCTGCATCCTCACCTACACAAGCAAAGTTGAATTTCTCCTAACAAAAAAAGGTTAAACTTCCTCTCACCCACTCTTTTTAGGAGCAGGTAACGGCAAGGAGAGCCCAGTCAGAGCTGCAGGGAAGTGAAAGCCTCGCAACTCGAAGTTCCTGTGGAGCAGGGCRGCTGACTTACAAAACCAGCCCATCCCTTTCCACTTTGATTCACTTCTCTGTGATATGACATCATGTCACGACCCTGGTACAAAGTGACAAAATTCAATACTACACAGCACCTACAAGCCTTGTTCCATTGAGGCCAATTCTGTTCCTAAGTTACAAGCTGAGACGTGACACGAGTCTTGTCTTTCACAAAAACAGACCAACTGTTAAGCGCTGATCAAAGCGTCTCCTTGAGCAGCCAGAAAACAACTGAGCTGGTGACATGCAAGGCAAAGACAGCCCTCAGTGTCACAGCAGACAGCGGCTGCATCTGCTGCTGCGTTATCGTAATGCAAAAGGATGTGTCACCCCTCCCCTGCCCTCCCCGAGAGCAGCTCGGGCAGGACATGTCACCCCTCCCCTGCCCTCTCTCAAAGCTGGCCTGTTTTCTGCGTGCATGTTGGGGATGACGAAGTTTTCCTCAAGGATTGGAAAAGTGCCCCCAGCTCTCTCTGGCAGTGYACAGGCTCCTGGCACGGGCTCAGGGCCTTGCTCAACACCAGACAGTTCACAGCAACAGGTCGTGTTCAGAGACTGAGGACCTCACCCCATTCTGGTGGCTGCCCCAACTGTCCCTTCACCACCTTCCCTCACAATTCCCTCTGCTCCCTACGCTGCTTTTTTAGGGAAAATAAGTACCTCTATTTCCTAACAGCAAAGGAAAACCAGCTGGTCTACTGCTATATTCACAATAAAGTTTTTCTTGACCAACCRAATTTGAGCTTATGATTTGTTTTGGAGTGTTTTTAACTAAATTTGATAGCTTGGTATACAAGATTTATCTATTTTACATCAGTCTAAAAGTACCAGCTGTCTTCTGAAAGAACACCAAGTTGTCTGCAGGGAGGGAGGTCACTGAAACCTTCCAATTCCACCATGAATTATTTGTAGTCACCCTACATGGACTGAAACAGCAAAGCTGGGTTGCTCAAGGCCAGCTCCAGCAGCTGTATTGAAATACACAGTCCCAGTTTGTACACACATTATGGAATAAAAGCCAGGAATCTTCTGCCTTGGGATCCTCCGTGGGCTGAAGACACTGAGAAGAGCCAGAGTTTACAGAAATCCAGATGTGGTATCACACAGGACAGCTGTGAAGCAGGATGGTTGTGTGAGTGCTCCTGCCCCCACGCTCAGCTGCATCACCAGCCCGCTCCCAAGGTCTTACCCATGCTGCATCCCGTAAAACTTTTGGACCTAACAGTTTATGGGCTGGCAGTTATTAAATTCATAGAAACATACAAAATTCACAGAATATCCTGAGTTGGAAGGGATCCATGAACTTGAGTTCAACTCCTGCATAGACCCCAACAATCCCACCCTGGGCCTGAGAGCGTTGTCCAAATGCTCCCTGAGCTCTGGCAGCCTTGGGGCTGGGACCATTCCCCGGGGAGCCTGTTCAGWGCCCCACAACCCTCTGGRGAAASCTTTTCCTGGTATCCAACCAAAACCTCCCCAGATACAGCTCCAGCCTTTTCCTCGGATCCTGTCCCTGGCCCCAGAGAGCAGAGGGTGGTGCTGCCCCTTGGGAAGAAGCCACAGACCCTGGTGATTCTCCCCCAGACTCTTCTACGTTTTTAATGTCACCTGGTGACACCACCCCAAACCCCACCCCTCCATAAAGCTCCAAATTTATAGACTGGAGGACACTACAGTCCATCCTCACTGGAATGCAAAGCCACTCCCTACAGAGCCAGGTGACACCACACACCATCAGCCTGATTTTTGGCAAGTGTGTCTGTCCACCGTGAGCAGTGAGACCCCGACAGGTGCAGCACCCCTGAAGCAGCAGAATTCCCCACAGGGATCACTTCRCAAGCAGAAATTGGGATAATGACTCTTCAGAAGCTGCAGCTGCATAGTAACTTTCAACCAAGTGTTCTGCCTCACTACTTCCTGTGAGAATTTTAATTGCTAATTTATTCTTTGTTGCCATGATCRTACTTGCTGCTGGAGCAAATCATACCAGAATTAGTAAAACAGCATGTACAGGTATTTTAAAACCAACAAAACTCAACCAAAGCACAAACTCTTTGCCTACATAAATAATCCAGGGTTTGATTAACACCTTTGATTAACACCTCAGCACAGCCCCCAACAGCTGCAGGACAGAAGGACCAAGATCAGCACTTTTCTTCATCCAAACCAGCTYCAAGTACTAATTAATTACAACAAATAACACGAACAAGGCCCCTCCCTACCCATACCAACACACCTGCAAGGCTCACAGCCTCCTTAAGCATTTCTTCTTAAAATCTTTGCCTAGAAAAGCAGTTTAATTCATAACTTCCCAACCAAACTTGCCTCTCACAGCAGGTTTAAACCAGAGCTTCCTTCCCAGGGCTGGAGAAGCTGCCGTTTGTWCTACACTCTCACCTTTTCTTCTGAACGGTTTTGGGGGAGGAAAATAAAGAAAATTTCCCTCTCTGATTAACCCCCAATCTGATTACAGCTCTGGAGGATCACAGCCTGTGACTGGGAACAAACTCTGGGACAGCCAAACCTGCTCAGGAGGGGAATTGTTATTTCATGGAATAACCTGGAGCCTGGCACTCACCTACACCCCAAGAAGCCAGACCTGGTCTCTCATAAGGCACCGGACAGTGATTAAGGCCCAGGAGCAAACAGAAACACTTTCACAGCAAAACCCACATATTTAAACAGACCTCATGCAAAGTGTGCTGCAATTAGATGATCTCTAAGGTCCCTCACAACCCAAAACATTCCAACGTGATATTCCAATCACTTATCCTGCCTTCTGTATTTTTAGGATTTACAAATTAAGAACATGCAGTAAATAAGCAGCTTACAAAGCAATGCAAGCAGCACGGGACAAGTGATTTGTGTTTCCAGTTTCAAACAAGGTGACCAGTTCTGACGGGCAAATTCTGGGCTAAGACTTGCAGTGGAAGAACCATACAAGGATTTTTTAATTTGGTTTTTGCTTCTTTGAGTTCTACCATGCCCATGTCTGCAGTCTGTTAATTTCAATGTCATCAGGGTACAGCTTTCAAGTAGAGTAACACTGAGTGAAACTGAATGATCTCTAAGGTCCCTTCCAACTCAAGCATTTCTGTGACTCTAAAAGCGCATCAGAAGAAACAGACCTGCCTCAGGTTTTCTGTTTGAAACCACAAAAACCCCGGGAACGCTTAAAACMGGGATTTTCCTGCCTGGAACCTATCGTGAGTAGAGGACAGCAGAGGGGAGCTCCGGAGGGCAGCCTGGTGAGGGGACACGGAGGGCGAAGAGAGGCTCCTGTGCTGTCTTTGTCCCACCACCCTCCCCCTCCTCCACCCCAGGCCCCTCGGGGCGGYCCTGATGAATCACCAGAACAAAGTCCCCAGCGGGTTCACAGAACCACAGAASAGACCCCCAAGGACAATCGAGTGCAATTCTTGGCCCTGCACAGACATCCCAACAATCTCACCCTGGGCCTGAGAGCGTTGTCCAAATGCTCCTGGAGCTCTGGCACTCTTAGGGCCGTGACCATTCCCTGGGGAGCTAGTTCAGTGCTCCATCACCCTCTGGGGGAAAAACCTTTCTCTGCTATCCAGCCTAAATCTCCCCGGACACAGCTCCAGCCATTCCCTCGGGTTCTGTCACTGCACAGAGAGGAGAGATCGGAGCCATCGCTTCTGCTTCCCCTCACGAGGAAGTTTTAAACTACGATGAGGTCTCTCCTCAGTCTCCTCCAGGYTGAACACACCAAGTAACCTTAGCCGCTCCTCCTAAGGCCTCCCCTCAAAGCCCTTCATCACGTCCACTGCCTTCCTTTGGACTCTTAACACCTCAATATCCTTCTTATATTGTGGCACCTAAAACTGCAGGCAGGACTCAAGGTGAGGCCGCACCAGCGGAGCGGGACAATTCCCTCCCTCGACCGGCGTGTTGTCCCCACTCCACGCGTGCTCCCGTTAGTTGACAGGAGAGGAAGACGCGAAGGGACAGGAGGGTGGACGCGGGTGGGACACGGGGGGGATCCGGTGCGGGCGGGCGCGGGAAGCGCCGCGGGCGGGTGACCTTGGGCGCGCGCACCTGCCGCAGCCCCGCGCGCGCGCCGGTCACGTGACGGGAGTGGGGGGGAGGGGGGGTGTGCGCCCTCACGGCCCCAACATGGCGGGAGCGGCCCCCCCTCAGCACCCCCGGCCCGGGACCGGCCCCCCCTTAACTCCCCCCGGCCCGGCAGWGGTCCCCTCTCAGCCCCCTCAGCCCGGGGGAGCCCCGGCGGGACCCTCTCCTGAGGTTGCGGGAAAAGGTGACCGAACCTCGCCCCCCGCCCCGTCCCAGTGCGTCGCCCTCCTCTTCCCCTCACCCGATCTCATCGGCGCCTCCCACGCTGTTCATGGCGGCGGCGGCTCCTCCGGGGCCGCGCCC